TCCCTGTGTGTCCCTTCCCACTCAACATTCCATTATTCCAAATGCTTCTCTAAGAATTGTTCCTCATTTCCTTCAGGTCTCTTTTTTCCTCCTCTGCCAGCTCCTTGGCCTGGCTGTCATCCCTTCAGGAATGTGACATCTCCTACACTGGAGGCAGAAATAATTCACAACAGTGTTGATCTTCTGGGATTTTTTAGTGGTGGCCTGAAAGTCTCAGTGCTGGTTCATTTTTCCAGGTTTTCCTGAGCAGGACTCTGGATTTAGGGTTTGCTCTGTGCACACACAGCCCCTGGAGCTGGAACTTGAGAGGATTCAGAGATCCAGGCTGGTTCCTCTTCTGTGGCATTAATTCCCAAAAGATTCACCCCAAATCCTGTCTGCACTGACACTGGCAAATTATCTTCATTGTTCTTCTTCCAGCTTCACACATCTGGCCTGAAAACAATCACATCCTCAACTCTGATTCTTTGGAATCACTTCCCACCCAGGGCATTATTTGGGATAGTGATTTACATCTGTCTCTGTCTATGTTTATATGATGCCCTCCAAAAAACCAGCTGTTTAATGATATTAATCCATATAAAACATTAACCATCTTTGGATGCTTGTCCCTGGTTTCAGATGGTTTTGGTTGTGGCTCAGAGAAGATTTTTATTTTTGTGCCTGGTACCACACCCAGTTCTTTTATTCTGTGCATCCCTTTTCCTACAGCAGCTAATGTTTTCCTGGTGTTGTTTTTCCCCCCACAGGCCACTCCCACGAGAGCTGGTCCTTGTCACCTGAGGAGTTTGAAATATGGGACAGACTCTACAGGATTAAGGAAAGTGATGGGATAAAGGAACCAGTATTGCCTCGAGTTCAGTTTGAAACCTTAGAGAACCTGGAAGAAACACCAGTGAGTTCCATGCAATGTTTCCATGGACACAAGGCCTGAAGGGTGCTGGAAATAGCAGAGTTAACTCTGGATTTGAAGGATGTCTGTTATAAAAACGCCTTTTTGAGATGTACATGTGGGTTTTTGAGGTGAAGAATTTAGAAATTGGATGTTTGCAATGGGTCTTTGAGGTTGGGTCTGTAAATTAAAAATGCATTAGGAGGACTCAGTATCCATCCAGTTCTGCTCCTGGTTTTAAGAATTCCATGCAGGATGCTGTACTCACAAAATCCCAGGATTTTAGGTTTAAAGGGATCTTAAACCCATCTCATTCCACCCCCTACCCTGGGCACCTCCCCCCAGCCCAGGTTGCTCTTGACGTTTTTATTTTAGACCAGACTTAAACCTGTATGATAATGTTTAAATCCTTCTCTGCATTTATTGAGAAGTTTTACTAACCAATTCCATGCTGAAAATCCCCCTTTCCATCCCAGTTTGCCCTGCAGAGGCCCCAGGAGGGGGCAGTTCGGGAGCTCTCCTTGTCTGAGTGGAGCATTTGGCAGAATCAGCCCCTGCCCACATCCCTGGTGGATCACTCGGATCGTTGTCACCTCTTCATCGGTGCCATGCAAATGATGGAGCTGATGAGGCACCAGCAGGTAATGCACAGTTAGAACCGTTTAAAAATAATGATTTTTTTTTTTTTTTTAATCCCGGTAATTGTGAAATTAATTATGTGTATTGGATTTTGTTTCAAAGTCTCTCCCACTGCTATGCTGTGATTCCTAAACTTTTCCACAGAAACTGTTTAAAAATGTGTTTCCCTACATAGGAAAAAAACTCCAGTCTTGTTTTAATGGATCCCAGTATCAATTTGTGACAGAATGACATTAAATACAAATGGCAAGGAGCAAAGCCACCAAGAGGGATCAGAGCTGTTCCAGGAACTGGGAAAAGTTTGGGATTGTGTGTACATCAAAAGCATCCCACAAAAGCCATGCAGGAACACATGACATGTTATAGGGGATTTATGTTCTGTTTTTTTTGAACTAAAAAGTGAATTGTTCCTAAGAATTAAGGGGGATAAGAGGACCTGGGGCAAGCAAACATGGGTAGGAACTGCTGGGGAGATGGGGATTTTGTTTTCTGACAGGGATGAATGCAGAAATCCTTCTGGAAGGCACAAGGGATGTGTGTAAAGGTGCATGGAGGCTTCAGTGGTTCCCCACATTATTTTCCCTCCAGCTCAGCTCCCCAAATGTTGCCTTCCAGCACGTGGAAGTGTTTTTAGGTCATCAGAAGCTGTTGCTAAGCTGCCAGACTCTCCTGACTAATAGCAGGACTAATCAAGGAGGAGAATGGACACATTGTCGTTGTGCTCCGAGGGTGAGGAAGGGGAGGCTGGAGCTCAGCAAAGCTTCTCCATCCCAGCACAGACATTGCTGACTGCTCTGGGAGTCCCTGAGCCCTGGGAGGGATGGCAGGAATGGTTCAGGAATTAGAAGGAGCCTCCTTTTCTGCAGCCTGAGCTCCCCTGGTGCCCCAGGGTGTGGGTTCCAGCTGGCTGTGACCCAGTCACAGGTGCAGGTGTTGGAGCTCCCTCACTGAGAGGAGGAATCCTCCCTCCCAGGGTGTCCCTGGTGTGCCCAGAGTGTCCCCAGGAGCACAGGAGGGGACACAAGGGCCAGCACTCAGCCTTTGGGACCTGCCAGGGACAAACAAAGCACTGCCAGGGCTGCAGTGAGCACTGACACCAGGGGTTTAAACTTCAGAGGTTCCTGAAACAACTGGTGCCAGTCCAGGGACACCAGAAGTGTTCCAGAGAAAGGGAGGATGCAGCTTTGTGTGTCTGACAGCTCCATTGGCATCCCCTGGGGTCATCCCTGCCTTCCCTGAGAGGCCCTGGCAGTGTTCCCAGGGCAGGGGATGTTCCCACTGCAATTCAAAATGTTCCCCTGGAGAGGAGAAGGATCCAGGGAGAGCTGAGGGCACCTAAAGGGGCTCCAGGAGAGCTGGAGAGGGACTGGGGACAAGGGATGGAGGGACAGGACACAGGGAATGGCTCCCAGTGCCAGAGGGCAGGGATGGATGGGATGTTGGGAATTGGGAATTCCTGGCTGGGCTGGAATTCCCAGATTTGCTGTGGCTGCCCCTGGATCCCTGGCAGTGCCCAAGGCCAGGTTGGACATTGGGACAGTGGGAGGTGTCCCTGCCATGGCAGGGCTGGCTCTGGGGGGGGATTTTTGGTCCTTTCCCAACCCAAACCATTCCATGATTTTCTGGTGGAAGGGTTTGCATGGATGTGCTCCCAGGTTCTGCTATAAATATTCCATGGCTGATTACACCCAGCTCATCTGGCTGATGTTCATTTATGGTGCTTAATTAACAGAGAGGTTTAACACCAATACAGGTCAAAGCTCTTTCCTTAAATACCTGAGAGAGGGAACCTCAAACCTCAGTTTTATTGATGATTTTTTTACTGGGGGTTCAAACATAGAATCAGGCACATCATTATTTTACTGTGAATAACCAAATGACGTGGAAATTTCTGCTTAATTATTTCTTGGGCAGAATTTCATTCAGAGATTTGTCATGACTTAATACAAGCCAGCACAAGAGGCATTTGTGTGGTTTTTTTTGGATGTTTTCTCTTAGAGAAGAAATTCACTGATGTGTGGCTTTCCTTTCCTTGTACTCATTCAGTGATTCAAGAAATCTGTATTTTGTATAATATCTTTCAAAAAGTCAATTTAAAGGCTTTTTTTTAAAAAATAGATGAAGTGAAAACATGCTGGCCAAAAATTATATTTCTTTAAATCTTAGAGAAGAAGTTGTCCCATTCAAAAGAAAATTTAAAAGTCACAGAAGCCCCAAATGTGACCTCTGGAAAAGGCAGATCCAGCAAAGCCTTTAATGCCCCAGGGGCTTTATTGCTACAGCAACAGTGTGGGGCAGATGGGGGGATTTATTCCCAGGGGGATTCTTCAAATCAGGTTGTCCTTCTGCAAAATAATTCAATCTCTTTGAAACATTTTTTTTTTTTTTTTTTTGCAATTCAAGCTGTGCTGTTTGGAAATAAGGCAGGGCAGAGTAATCCTTTTAGTGAGGGTGATATTTGTCCAGGTTTCTCAGGGAAGAGGGAAGTGCCAGGGTTTTATTTTTCTTTAGGAGATGAGGAATGCTTCATTTTAATGACATTTTCGTTTTTCCCTTTTTCATTTCTCCCCTTCCAATGTTGGAGGGTCACTCTGTATCTTTCCAAGCTGGCAGTGGGAACTCACAGCTTATCACAAGAAAAACAAAATAAATCCCCAAATCTTTGGGATTGTCTCAGTTTTTCACCCTCTGACTGCAAACACCTTGAGAAGGAAACATCTCCTACCCCTGGGATGACCCTGGAACCTCTGGCTCTGAATTAGCTGTGATAAATCAGTGATTTTTTATCTGGCTATGATAAATCAGTGAATTTTTTTATCTGGTTATGATAAATCAGTGATTTTTTATCTGGCTGGGGCTGCCTCAGGGGATGAACTCCCTGCCAGCAGGGAAAACGTTCCCAGGACACTCTGGAATCCCTGAAAAGGCTCCCCAAGCTTTAGGAGTTTTAAATCAGGTTTGTTTTGGGGGGAAATTTTGGTGTTTTCATCCAGCTGGACCTTTTTACTCAGGAGACCCTGAATGCAAAGTTAAAAATGGTTCAAGTAAGGACAATGAAATGGTTTTATCTGGGTTTTTTAGAGCCTCATTGCCAGTAAATTCTCTCTGATTAAAATCCTCTTCTGAGATTTGTCAAAACGTCTGGTTCCAGAGAAGGTGGAAGGGTTTGGGATGGTTTTGGAGGGTGAGGTGCCAGGGAGCCCCAAAATCTCAGCTCTCCAATTAAAGAAATTCCTTTGAATTGCTACTCCTGACCTTGTTGCCAAATTTTTTGAGTGCAAACATTAAGTGAGACCTGGAATTGCAGGTGCTTGGTGCTTTTCCTGGTGCTGGGGTTGTGCTCCCAGTGAGAACAGAGGAGTCCCAGTGATTTGGGAGTGGGGGCTGGATGCTCCTGCAGGTGCTTCCCACCCCACCCATTCCATGAATCCAATGCCCTCAGCTTCCAGCTCTGCCAGTGCTAAACACAAAGGGCAGGGACATCCAAGCAGGGGACAGGGCATGTTCTTTAATAATAATAATAATAATAATAATAATAATAATAATAATAATAATAATAATAATAATAATAATAATAATAATAATAATAATAATATTATTATTATTATTATTATTATTATTATTATTATTATCTCAATAAATGGGATTGCTGGTATGGAATCCTGGAATGGTTTGGGTGGGAGGGACCCTAAATCCCACCCCTGCCATGGCAGGGACACCTCCCACTGTCCCAATGTCCAACCTGGCCTTGGGCACTGCCAGGGATCCAGGGGCAGCCTCAGCTGATTTATTTCCTGATGTTCTTGAACATTCATCTCCTCAACCTTTTATTGATCCTCTTCCCATATTTGCCAGGGTAAATACTCTGGATTTTGTCATAATCTTTTTTTTTTTTTTTTTGGTGAGGGGGATCTTTGGCTGTTTTTATTGGGTGGCAGAAATCAAAACCCACCAGAGTGAGCAGATCCATCAATAATGTGATGCCATTAGGGAGAGAATTCTCTCAGTTTGGTAGAAGGAAATTGGGGTTTCTGTGTCCCTCAGGCTTCTTCCATGACTCAACCAAATAAATTTTTAAAGATCATCTCATGTAATACACTTAAACCTCCAAAACCAAGTTTTTGACAGTGCTTCTTCCCCTGAAGTGTATTCTGGAACAGAACATGAAGCAGTTCCTGGAAGAGGTGATGAGTAAATGAGTAAATGTTATTTCTGAGCTCAGGGAGGGCAGCAGAACTGGGAGAGCTTTGGGCTCTGATCACTGGTGCTGCAGCAAAACAGCAATTTTGGTAAAACATGGAAAAGATGATCAGAAAAAAATTCCTGGAATCACAGAAAGGTTTGGGTTGGAAAGAGCTTCAAGCTGTTCCAAAGCCTGGAGGAGAGGGAGAGTTTGAGGAGCAGCATCTGCTCAGCCAGAACACCCCAAAAGGGAAAATTCTGCATGGTTTCACTCAGGATTCCAGGGAAAGGAGTTTGAATTGTTAAAAATCCACATTGTAGTTGTCCACAGATTTATCTTCGATTTTCAAACAGCAACATCACCAGGGTTTCATCAGGCAGATGAATCTTGTTAGAAAATGTGCATCCAAAGCAGCTTATGAAGAAAGAGGGGGTAATTCTAATTTTGGTACTTGATGCCTTAAATTTAAAAACTAGAAAACAGAATGGGTATAATTACACAGAATTACCCATTAACATGTAATTACCCATTAACAGAATGAGTATATTTTACATACTAAAAATAAAAATTTTAATATGCCAAGTTTACTTTTCTATTCCTATTTTCTATGCTAAAATATATTTTGTTTTGTTTTGTTTTGTTTTTTTTTAAATGAATCAGTGACTCCAGGCAGGGTCATTGATTGAGTACAATAATCTCAGATTGATGCTGTTTTCCTGCTCCTGACCTATTTTCTGAGGAGCTGGTACACCCTGGAACTCTGTGGGTTAGAGGAAAGCTGAGCAGGTAATTTAAGGTTCCACAAGTTGTGCACGTTCAGGCCAAAATGTGCTAATTCCAAATGTGCCCTTGCAGTGCCTGAGCACTGAACTCCGTGGCTGGGACACAGAATTTTGGTCAGGAGAAAATGTTTGGAGTGTTTGATCCTGGCAACTGGAGCAGTTACACAACCCTGAGCCCCAATCAGGTCACTGAGCTCTGGCCTCGATGCTAAATTTGGCTGCTGGGCTGTTCCTGGCACTGCCAGCCTCCAGTGGGGCACTCAGGGGGGTGTGCAGGGACCTGGGGACATTCCTGACAAAATTCCTCGTGATCCTGCTGCCTGTGGGAGAACCCCACAATCCCAAAGTGGTTTGGGTTAAAGGGACCTCAAATCCCATCCCATTCCCAGCCCTGCCACTGCCCCAGGCTGCTCCAACCCCAATGTCCAACCTTGCACATTCCAGGGATCCAGGGGCAGCCACAGCTGCTCTGGGAAACTTGGTTAGTTTGGGGTTTGGAGGTTTTAGGGCTTCTATTTGAGTGAGTTTGGATTTGTAGGTTTTGGGGGTTGTATTTTGATTGGATTTGGGGGTTTAGTTTGAGGTTTGGGTTTGTAAATTTTGGGAGTTGTAGTTTGATTGGGTTTGGGTTTGTAGGGTTTGTAGGGTTTTGGGTTTGGAGGTTTTGGGGTTTGTAGTTTGAGGTTTTGGAAGTTGCATTGTGATTGGGTTTGGGATTTGTAGATTTTGGGAGTTGTAGTTTGGGTTTGTAGGGTTTAGGGGTTGTAGAATTTGGAGGATGTACTTTGATTAATTTTGGGTTTGCAGGTTTTGGGGGAATGTATTTTGATTGAGTTTGAGGGTTGTAGTTTGAGTTTTGGGTTTGGAGGTTTTGGAAGTTGCATCGTGATTGGGTTTGTAGATTTTGGGAGTTGTAGTTTGATTTGGTTTGTAGGGTTTAAGGGTTGTAGTTTTGTTTTGGGTTTGTAGGTTTTGGGGGCTGTACTTTGATTAATTTAGGTTTTGCAGGTTTTGGGGGTTGTATTTTCACTGGGTTTGAGGGTTGTAGTTAAAGCTTGAAGGTTTGGGGTTTGTGGTTAGAGTTTTGGGTTTGGAGGTTTTGGAGGTTGTAGTTTGATTTAGTTTGGGTTTCTAGGTTTTGGGTTTGTACTTTGGTTAATTTTTGGTTTGTTGGTCATGGGGTTTGTACTGTGGTTAATTTTGGGTTTGTAAGTTTTGGAGGTTGTGGTTTGTGATTTATAGGTTTGAAGTTTGTAGTTTGATGGGTTTGGGGTTTGTAGGTTTGGGGTTTGTAGTTTGATGGGTTTGGGGTTTGTAGTTTGATGGGTTTGGGGTTTGTAGTTTGATGGGTTTGGGGTTTGTAGTTTGATGAGTTTGGGGTTTGATGAGTTTGGGGTTTGTAGTTTGATGGGTTTAGGGTTTGTGAGCTTTGGGGATTGTAATTTGATTGGTTTTGAGTTTGTGGAGTTTGAGGCTTGGTTAGTTTTAGGTTTGGGGGCTGTAGTTTGATTGGGTTTGTAGGTTTTGGGGTTGCATTTCAGTTCATTTTGGGTGGCAGGACAATATTGGGCCGAGCCTGCTCAGCTCTGCACTCTCAGAACTGTGTGGGGTGGGCAGGGGCAGCTTCTCCTCCTGTTTCACTGTTCAGTGGTTTGGCAGCTAATTAATCCTTAATCCCTTTAATTTCTGTCTTGTTTGTGTAATGCTGAAATGCCTGCATTGAGTTGTTGTGCAAGGGGCAGTTGTTGCCGAGATAAATCCAAGCAGAGCTTTACCAGCCCTGTCACTGTCACCCCAGTGCTCCCCTGCTCAGGTGACACCTGGGCACTGGATTGGAACCAGGTTTGTTGTTCCTCTTGGATTTCAGACAAAGAATTCCATGTCTCGAGTCTGTGTTCTGAGCAGGCTTGAGGAAAAGGAATTATTTAAAACCTGCCAGATGAAAATCATCCTTTAATCCTCTTGTGACAATTCTTTTCCTCACTGTTTTTGTTAAGCCTTCTCCCGAGGCAGCTGATGTAGTCTGGGGATATCCTTGGAGATCTTTAGTTTAAAAAATCCAGACTTGGATTTTTTTGGGTGTCTTTACAAATGAATGGTTTAAGCATCAGCGTCCGTGTGAAATTGGTGTTGAAACGATGATGGTGATTAATGACAAAATTAATCAATTTTAATGACAAAATTAATTAATGTTAATTGTGCACAGTTTGCTTGGCCTGCTGCAACCAGAGAGGATCCCCAACCCTGTTAGGGACCAATCTTCAAATTCCTGGGAGGTGGCTTTGGGTCCTGCTTCCTGAAATACCTTCAGACAAGCCAGTCTGATTGTAAAAGTCATTTTTCCCACCCTCTGTAAAGGTACCTCGTGTAACTTCAGGGATTAAGGAGTCTGGGGATTCCTCTGCCTGAACTGCCAAAAAATAATTGTTCTGTTCAGATCCTACCTGTCCAGGTCCACTGTGCTTTTCCCCAGTGTGTGTTTAACAGAGCTGCTTGCCTTTTGAACAGCAAAAATTTATAGACACCCATGAAAAATTATTTCAGAGTCTGTGGGAAGTTCTTCAGGAGAACAAAAGCTTCGTTTTAAACCTGGCTGTGAGCAGCCCTGGGTGTGTCTGTGGTAACCAGTGCCCTGTGTCCCCAGGGAGACTGCAGCTATGAGCAGGAGCTCCAGCCTCACCTCTGCATGGAAGATGTGAATATTGCAGGGAACAAAAGGCATCTGCCCATGGCCAACCCCCGCTGGAGGCAGAGAGCTCGGAAAGACCTGGCAAAAACAAAACCAGAACCATTCCCACCTGAATCGGGGGATAATGGGAGCGAGTTCTTCAGCACCTTTAAAATCACCAAACCCAGGGCTGCCAAAAGGGCTCCTGGGCTCAGTGAGGAAGTGCCTGAGTTGCCCCAGGATCCTTCAGCCTCTTCCTCAGGAGCAAGGCTTGGACACTCCGACCTGGGCAGTGACAAGGACGAGGGGCTGGAGGTGACATTTGATTTAAATGCCTTTATTGACCTGTGTGACAACAGTGACAGCCCTGCAAGCCCTGCCAGCCCAGCAGCACAGGAAACCAGCCCTGCAGGTAAATCCCGTGGGAGAATCCACGGGGATTCAGGGTATGAGACATCCCCCGTGGCCTCGGAGCTGTTTTATCTCCCCGAATCCTGCAGGGATTCCTTCACACTCCTGGCACCACCCCAGGAGCCCCCGGGGCTGGAACAAACATTTTCCCAGGTGCAAAGGCTTCTGTCACAGTCCCCTCCCTCTGGGGATGAGCTGCAGGCTTTGGAGAGCACCTTGAGAGATGAAGGGACAAGATCCCCTTCCCCAAAAGTTCTCCCCGATGGTCCCTCAGAGGCACTGAAGGACAGCATCTCCCCTGCGTCCCCAAAACCTGATCCTTCACTGCTGCTGCTGGAAAACCCCAAAGTGACAGTTCCCAGGGAATCCTGTGCCTCAAGAAGCCCCTGTTTGTCCAAAGCTGTGTCACCTGCCAAGGCCGCTGCTGTTGAAGAGGAGCAGCTCTGGAATGACAGCTTGGATGGCCTGTTTGACAGTGAGGAATTCCCTGAAATCCCAAACAACTCTCCCAGCATGGGCCACCCCCTGACAAAGGAGCCTTTCACCCCCAGGGACACAGGAGAGGCTGCCCTCGAGGTTCCTGCTGAGGAGCAGAGTCTCCATTTGTTTGAGGATGAGGATGGTGGGGACATGGACCCTGAGCCTCCAGCTGGGACAGAGGCAGAGCCAGGCAGGGAATTGCTCTGTGTGAGCCCCAGGCAGGCCTGCAGGGAGCAGCCCTGGAGCAGGGAATCCATGGGAACATCGGGAGTGGATGATCCCCACGACTTCTGCCAGGATCTGTTCTCTGTGACCTTCGACCTGGGCTTCTCCATCGAGGACAGCGAGGATGAAAGCTCTGAGCACACCAGCAATGCTGAAAACCCCAAACTGAACGGGGCCCTGGGGAGTGCCCCAGGGGCTGAATCCACTGAGAGTGCCAAAATATCCCTGGGGGATGGCTCCAGGCTGGAAACCTCACCAGGATGGGGCTGCAGAAGGCTCAAGGGAAGGGACAAGTCCACACGATTGTCACTGCAGGGCAGGAATGGCAGGGAAGGGACCAAGGGTGCTCCTGCTGCAGGGCCTGTCCTCAGTTCAGGGGGCAGCAGAGCAGGAGGGGAACCCCCTGAACCTTTGCCTTCTGCACTTCTGACCCCAACAAGCAGCAAGGGTGTGAACAGCAAAGGTGTCAAAAGAATTCCTATGAAAATCTTCTCCAATGCCAGGGAGCAAATTCCAAAAGTGCCTCCTGTAGATGAAGTCAAAGGAAGCCCTTGGAGGCAGAACTTTGGGAGATCAGCCATGGATTGTCCTTCAGCAAGGACAGGAAGCCTGGAGGACACCAAACCCCGGGGGTCTCCTGCTGCAGGTAGGGAATTTGGTGGGACGTGGGAATTTGGAGGGATGGGTGTTGGACCTTCATGGTGAGGAAATAGGATCCAGTATCTTTGGGATCCTCACTTTGGTTTTATGACTCCAGCATGTTCCAAATAACCCAAACTGTTTGGGAAAATGAACTATTCATAATTCCTGTCATTTGAGATCGTGGACTGGTGTAACTCACTTGGTTTTATGGCTGAGGTGGGCAGGCTGTGATGCTGGGTCAATGAGGGGACATTCCCTGTGTCCTGTCCCTCCATCCCTTGTCCCCAGTCCCTCTCCAGCTCTCCTGGAGCCCCTTTAGGTGCCCTCAGCTCTCCCTGGATCCTTCTCCTCTCCAGGAGAACATTCCCAGTAGTGACAGTGACATTTGCAGGTCCCACTCTGTGCTGTCACAGGGATTTGTGTCACAAAGTGCTGCCACAACTCTGGCTCCTGCTCAACTTTTAACAGCTCCTTCTCTTGGTTTCCTGCTTCCCTTCCCTTCCTGTGCCTGGGGTCATCAATTCCCCCCCGGGGCTCTCCAGGGAAGCAGGATTTATTGTCCATCCCGGCTGGAGATGATCTCTTTTGATTAACAAGGCTGAAGAGAACAATATTTGCCCTGTACATCAATAAATAATCTCCTTTGGAGGTGCTATTCTGAGAGAGGCAGGGTTTGATTGCTCAGCTGTAATAAAATTGTGTTGGGAGCTGTGCAGTTGTGGTGAATGTTGTTTATTCTGTTTTCTGCAGGATCCAGCAGTGACAGCGAGGAAGAGATCGTTTTCCAGAGAAAAAAGAGGATAAAAAAGAATGTTTTGAAATCTCCTGATGTGAGTTTTAGAGAAAAAAAAAAAAAAAAAGAAGCAAAATGACAATTTAAGCAGCAAAACAAGAGATCTCAGTGCACTGATGTTGGTTCTGTCCCCACAGGGGATGGATGAGAGTGACCTGGAGTGTCCAGCTCGGGTCACCAGGAAACGCCAGCGCCCTCTCAACGTGGTCAGCACTGAAATGGGACAGAAATCCTGGAAACCCAGTCCTGCTTCCCTTCACTTCCTCCCCAGGGTCTCCACACATCACAGGATCCCACAGTGGTTTGGGTTGGAGGGAGGTTAAATCCCACCCCAGTGCCACCCCTGCCATGGCAGGGACACCTTCTGATCCATTTTAAGTTAAAATATCTTCTAGGCTGTGTGTGTAATAAACTCAGGTGCAGTCTGGAAGGAACTGAAATTGCTTTTTAATTTACTCTAGGGAGAGCTTCAATTGTTACATTTCCTTAATGTAATAAACAAGGACAACCTTTTTATACTCACTGATTCCTCAGAGTTGTTGTGGGGTGGCAGAATCCAGGAGCTGTGCAGCTTGGATCCTTCATCCTCTTGGTTTGGAATCATGGAATGGTTTGGGTTGGAAGAGACCTCAAATCCCCCTCAGAGCCACCCCTGCCATGGCAGGGACACCTCCCACTGTCCCAATGTCCAACCTGGCCTTGGATATTCCAGGATTTGGGCTTTGATGACTTTGGAGTTGTTGTTTGGCACTGAAACATTGTAAAATCCAGGAAGGGTGAAATAACCTGCCTGCCACAAAGCTTTGAACCAGAAAAAGCAAATTCATGGCACTTTTGACCTGATTTTTCTTCCAAATCCCATTTTTCTGTCCTGTTAGTGGGAGATGTCCCAGCCCATGGCAGGGATGTTGATGCCTGGAAAGGCTGAGCTGGGACAGGGAGCAGGCAGAGCAAAAGGAATAAAATCAGGATTTATTGAAAGGATTCACCTCGGGCAGTGCAAGAGCCCGGCCAGGGCTGCACCCAAATCAAATCCCAGATGGATCCTGGGCACGAGTTTGACACTTTGATAAGTTTGGGTTCATCTTGGGGTCAATTGTCCAAGCACAGCCCCAGGCTATGAAGGCTCAGCCCCCTGGATTGTCCCTTTTCCCTTTTCCCTTTTTGGGTTCTCTCCTTCATTCTCCAGATGGGAAGGGATTCTTTTCTCCACCCCGCCCTGTGAACAGAACTCACTCACACCCAACATCAAATTCCAGAGTTCACACCCAGCAGCAGAGGCTGGAAAATATCAAAATTAAAGCCCAAGGCAGGGGTGGCACTGGAGGAGCTTTAATGTCCCACCCAGGCCAGCTGGGATTGAGTGACTGTGTGGAATTCCCTGTGCTGTCCCTGCTCACTCTCTGTGTTCCTTTGCAGTCAGACACATCCAGTGGGGACAGTGGGGACAGTGGGGACTTCCAGAGGGGCAGGAACAGCTCCAGGGCCAGGCCCCAGCCAGGAGGAGCCAAACGACTCAGGAGCACCAGCACAGCCCAGGTGGGTGGCACTGCTGGAGGTCAGCCTTGGAACAGCTGGAATTGCAGCTGGAATTGCAGCTGGAATGTGGGGCTGGGGCTCTGCTGTCCCACAGCAGCTCCTGGCAAACGGTGGAGCTGGAATTTGGGAATGCTGGGGGACAACAGGGACACCAGAGAGGAGCTGGGAGGGAAACCCAGGGACACCCCAGGAGGGGTCAGCCCTGAGAGATCAGGGTCCTGTCCAGAGGAAAATAATAATAACAACAACAATAATACTAGCAAAATCATATAAAAATCATAATTATTTTGTTGTAAAAATATAACAAAATTATATTGTATTACATTATATTATATCATGTCATCATCTTATATCACCTTATATCACCTATTCTATTCTACTCTATTCTATTCTATTCTATTCTATTCTATTCTATTCTATTCTATTCTATTCTATTCTATTTCATTTCTATTTCTATTTCTATTTATTTCTATTTCTATTTCTATTTCTATTCCCTGTAAATCCCTTCCACATCAGGATATTCTGGGATTGTATATTAAATAATAATAATGAATTTAACTAATATATTAGTAGTAGTACTGGTAGTATAATGAAAATTTTTTATTATTATTATTATTATTATCATCATCATCAGTGTTGGGCTGCTTGCTCAGTGATCCCCACCATTGGCCTCACCCCTGACATTTAAGGCAGCAATGGTCCCTCAACCCCAAAAGTTAAATCTCAGCTCAGTATTTGCCCCTTCAGCAGGGATGGAGGCAGCACCAGACTCACTGAAGCTGAAAAGCTCTTAAATATTCATGGCTGTGGTTGCACTGAGCAGAAATTGCCATAATCAGGGCTCCAGGGCACAATATGTTGGACATGTTTTAATTTTTTAACAATAATATTCATTATTAAGACTTCCCTTATGGTATCAGTGTTTTATGTTCTGGAGTACAAAAAAATGAGGTGGAGTAAAATGCATTTTTCAATCGGATTTAAACTTTTTTTTAATTTTTTTTTTTTAATATGAGACCAAAAGGAAGCAAAGTGTGTCTGGTGAGGAAATTTCACTTCACACATCACCTTTCCCTGAACAGCCCCTGGGATGGACATGGAGAATTCCAGATCCTCAGGGGATCCCAGCCATGGAAATGTGCCAGGGCTGCACTTTGGGGACACACAGGGTGACAAACCCCAGGGGTGGAGGCAGCCCCTGGCCCTGGCTCATCATCATCATCATCATCATCATTCCCCAAGGAACAACTTACAAAAGCTCTGGTGGCTTTTGGTGTCAGGGAGCTTTGTCCTCTCCATTCTCCTCACACTGTGACATGTTCCAAATAACCCAAACTGTTTGGGAGAAAAGAACTTTAGTAATTCCTGTCATTTGGGATTGTGGACTGGTGTAAGCAAATAATTAAAAGGTTTAGGAGAATGTGAAAATCAGGGATGCAGCACAAAATGCCTGAGAGTTCCAGGAATTAAACTCAGATTTACAGCTCTGTGCTCTTTATCCCAAATCATTCTCATGGAGTTGTGGAGATACCTCATTATTTTGGGGCTAATATTTTACTTTAACACTTTATAGCTGAAATTACAGGAGGAAAATGAGCTGAATATAAAGTATCTCAGAGAAGGCATCTTCCTGAATTGCCTTTTTTGTTTCCATGTGTGACCTTGGGAATGTTTTGTTGCCTGGTTTGGGTGGAATTTAGGATCAAGCCTCCTGCAGTGCAGTCACATGGGAAGTGCCTCAGCTTCCCTGGACTGAGCTGTGCCATGAACAAAAATCCTGAGCACAAAAGGGCAAACCAGGGTGGGCTCTGTGGCTGAAATTCCTGCTGCACTTGGGTTTGGAGGAATCCAACACTCTGAAATCCAGCCAGGCTTTGAGAGCACACGAAATGGGTAAAGCTGGGTCTATAAATCACAAAGTGAGGCGTGGGCACTCCATGGTGGTCACTCTGTGGTGTGTGGTGGTCACTCTGTGGTGGTCACTCCATGGTGTGTGGTGGTCACTCCATGGTGGTCACTCCATGGTGTGTGGTGGTCACTCTGTGGTGGTCACTCCATGGTGTGTGGTGGGCACTCCATGGTGGTCACTCCGTGGTGGTCACTCCATGGTGGTCACTCCATGGTGGTCACTCCATGGTGTGTGGTGGTCACTCCATGGTGGTCACTCCATGGTGTGTGGTGGTCACTCCATGGTGGTCACTCTGCCTGTGCCATTCCCTGCCCCAGCAGATGGATTCTGTTCCCCAGGGGAGCCGTGGAGGGGCTGGGGCAGAGGTGTCAGGGCAGTGTGGTTAATTAGAGGCTGGTTAATTGAGTGTGTGCTGTGTGCAGGCTCTGGGCAGGCAGTTCCTGGACGAGGAGGCCGAGCTGTCCCAGCTCGGGGCCGAGGGGATCTCGTCAGACGAGAGCGACGGCGCCGGGGACGAGCTGAGCCCATCCCTGGCCGAGTTCCTCAACGATGAGGGGGAGCCCACACAGGCCCTGAACGGTGAGTGGGGAATTCCCAGAGCATCCTAGAGCACCTTGGAGCATCCCAGAGTACCCCAGAGCATCTCAGAGCATCCTGGAGCATCCCAGAGCTTCCCAGAGCACCTTGGAGCATCCCATAGCATCCCAGAGCTTCCCAGAGCACCCCATAGCACCCTGGAGCACCCCAGAGCATCCCACAGCATCCCAGAGCATCCCAGAGAACCCCAGGGCATCCCTGGGAGCAGTGACCTCCTCACCCCAGCTCAGGAGCAGCTCCTGCCATGGCATCCAGGGCTCTGCCTGCTGGAAAACCTCCTGCATCCTGAGGGCAGGGCTGGAGCTGGGCCAGGGGGGTCAGGCTGGATTTTGGGAAAGGTTCTTCCCTCCCCCAGAGGGTGCTGGCACTGCCCAGGCTCCCCAGGGAATTCCAGAGCTCCAGGAGAGTTTGGACACCAGGGATGCCAGGGTGGGATTGTTGGGGGGTCTGGGCAGGGACTGGGATGATCCCTGAGGGTCCCAACTCAGGATATTCTGGGATTTAGTGGCATCTTTCATGGCACAGACTGGGTACACTTGGAATCCCAGACTGGTTTGGGTTAAAAGGACCTCAAATCCCCCCCCAGAGCCACCCCTGCCATGGCAGGGACACCTCCCACTGTCCCAATGTCCAACCTGGCCTTGGGCACTGCCAGGGATCCAGGGGCAGCCACAGCTGCTCTGGCAATTCCAGCCCAGCCAGGAATTCCCAATTCCCAACATCCCATCCATCCCTGCCCTCATTCATCTTAAACCTTCAGCCTGGGCTTTGGGATTTCCAGAGATGTCTGGAGAATTGCAGATTTTTGCTTTGAGAAATACAGGTTTTTGAGAAACTAGAAAGCAGCATGGAAAGCACAGTGTAGCAGCTATGAATTAAAATTTCTCTCTGTATTCGTGCTGAATTCTTTTCCTCTTGTTCACTGCAGACACTGAGATGAGGGGAGTTTACCTGAGCTCCGTGCGCAGCCCCGCCCTGGGCAGCAGATTCAGGATGGTCCATCACGACTTCAACCCCTCGGCCATTTTCTCCCAGGTGGGAAGGGCAGGGGCTCCTGTGCTTGGGGACTCCCCCTGGGGGGACCAAAATGAGGTTCTTGGCCTGCCTTGAAGAGCAGTTACAGCCTTTTTTTGGTAAATGACCAAGTTCCAGCATAAAACTTCAGCCTGGAGAAGGGAAGGATCTGGGGAAACCTCAGAGCCTAAAGGGGCTCCAGGAGAGCTGGAGAGGGATTTGGGACAGGGGGTGGAGGTAAGAAAACTGCAATGCAATTGGAGCTGCACTCGAGGTGTGTGAAAACTGCATCCAATGAGTTGTGGGAATGAAGAATTGGCTTTTTCCCTGTGTGAAGAAATCAAATCCTGGCTGGTTGTTATTGCAACAGCAGCTCTGCTGTGGGAAAGGCTGGGAGAGCTGGGAATGTTCAGCTGGAGAAGAGAAACTTTGGGGTTCCAGGGCCTGGAGGGGCTCCAGGAGAGCTGGAGAGGGACTGGGGACAAGGGATGGAGGGACAGGACACAGGGAATGGCTCCCAGTGCCAGAGGGCAGGGATGGATGGGATGTTGGGAATTGGGAATTCCTGGCTGGGCTGGAATTCCCAGATTTGCTGTGGCTGCCCCTGGATCCCTGGCAGTGCCCAAGGCCAGGTTGGACATTGGGACAGTGGGAGGTGTCCCTGCCATGGCAGGGGTGGCTCTGGGGGGGATTTAAGTCCCCTCACCCCAATATTTGTGTGTGGGCAGGGCTAGGTAAGCCCAGGGCTCTTCAGGCAAGGAGCAACAAAACCTTTGCAGTTTCCCAAAACTTCCTGGCTCTGTTTTCTCCCCAGATTCCCGAGCAAGACCCAGCTTATGCTGAGGACAGTTTCTGTGTGGGAGATGAGGAGGAGGAGGCTCAGAGTGGCTGCAGTGAGGAGGAAGAGTGTGTGAATTTTGATCTGCTCATCGAGGGCTCCAGCAGGAGCCGGTACCTGACCCGGCGCAGGAAGAGGCTGGAGCAGGCCAGGCTGGCAGGGAACGCCCCTGCCCCAGGGGACAGGAAAAAACCATCCAGAATTATTGTCCTGAGTGACTCCAGCGAGGAGGAGACAGCAGCCAGCAGGGAGAAGGCCCTGGCAGCAGGGCAGGGAAAGGAGCAGCTCCCCAAGGCTCTGCCCTCAGCCCCCTCTGCACAGCACAGGAGCAGGGCTGGGGAAGCCACAGCTCCTCAGGCTGGGGACAAGGACACACAGAGGCTGCTGGGCTTGGAAGCTTCAGAGTCTGGGATGCTGGATCTCCCCCAGGACATTGCAGGCAGGAGCACATCCATGCCCCCAGCTGGCTCTGGCTGCAGGAACACGGATCTGCAGGCTGCTGGTGAGGTCAGTGCTCAGGGAAAGGAAAGCAGGGGGATTCCTTGTGGGACAGAATTCCTGTGCCAGGGCTGTCAGCAGCAGGAGTCAGGGAATCATGGAATCATGGAATCATGGAATGGTTTGGGTTGGGACACCTTCCTTAGTCCAGGTTGCTCCAGCCTGGCCTTGGACACTTCCAGGCACCATCTCCCTTTCCTTTGCTGCTAGAAGTTTTGTACTCCCAGGGTAACCTGGAGAATTTTAGGAGTGAACAAATAAAAACTGGGGTTGGATTCTCCCTTGGGTCTGACAGTGATGGAGGATGGCGGATCAGTGTGGAACAGCAGTGTCCACTGATTCTTTGGGTTTGTAGTTAGAAATTCACTGTCTGAATTCTGTGCTTTCAGCACCTCCCTGAGGTTGGGTTCCTGATCTCTCACACTTCCCAGCATAATCTCTGTCCTTGACAGGATCCAGGTTTTGTTGAACTTCTTAGTGAAAGCTGCTGCTTTTGTCATCCAAACTCTGGATAATCAGCTCAGCTCAGTGGGGAGACTGATACAGGGATTAAAATGTCAATGTGAAAGTGTTGGTATTGCAAAACAGCTTTTTATTGATCTGATCTGTGATTTTCAACACTCACAGGTGTGTAGCTCTTTGAAGAAGACCCACGGGAGCAGCTCAGGCTCGGCGTGTCCTGCTGTCCCAAACCCTTCCTCAGCCCCAGCTGGGAATTCCCGAGTTCCTGGGGAGCAGAGCTCCTCCCTGGCTGGGAATTCCCGAGTTCCTGGAGAGCAGAGCTCCTCCCTGGCTGGGAATTCCCGAGTTCCTGGAGAGCAGAGCTCCTCCCTGGCTGGGAATTCCCGAGTTCCTGGGGAGCAGAGCTCCTCCCTGGCTGGGAATTCCCGAGTTCCTGGGACTCATGGGACTCAGAGCCCCTCCCTGTGCATCCTGGCGGACAGCCGGGAGATCAGCTCGGGGCTGGAGGTGATTTCGAGCCTGCGGGCCGTGCACGGGCTCCGGGTGCAGATTTGTCCCCTGGGCAGCAGCGATTACATCGTCAGCAACCGCCTGGCCGTGGACAGACTGCTCCAGTCCGAGCTGCAGAGCCCCGGCAACAGGAACAAACTGAGCCAGAGGCTGCAGCGCCTGCAGGGCATCTTCGAGAGGATCTGTGTCATTGTGGAGACTGACAGGGTCAGGCCAGGTGGGTGCTGCCACAATTCCCTGCTCTGACTGGGCACAGGGAGTGGATTCCCACTGCCAGAGGGCAGGGATGGATGGGAGACTGGGAATTGGGAATTCCTGGCTGGGCTGGAATTGCCAGATTTGCTGTGGCTGCCCCTGGATCCCTGGCAGTGCCCAAGGCTGGGTTGGAGCAGCCTGGGACAGTGGGAGGTGTCCCTGGGATGGGATGGGATGGGATGGGATGGGATGGGATGGGATGGGATGGGATGGGATGGGATGGGATTTAAGGTCCCCTCCCAACCCAAACCATTGTGGGATTCCATGTCAGGAACAAGCACAGTTTTATCCATGCACAGACCTTTGTTTCACTCCAAACATCCAAACTCTGCAATGCAATGATTCCACCAGACAATAACAGGCTCTTGCTTTCCTGTCCTTCCCCTCCTCAGGAGAAACTTCCCGGTTTTTCCAGAGGACTCAGTATTACGATGGAGTGCTCTCAGCCTTGGTCCAGGCTGGAATCAAGATCCTCTTCAGCTCCTGCCAGGAGGAAACTGCAGCTTTGCTGAAGGATCTGGCTCTGCTGGAGCACAGGAAGGACGCTGCCATCCAGGTGCCCACGGAGCCCGAGGGGCACGGGCGGGACATCCTCAACTTCTACCTGAGCATTCCCAACCTCAGCTACGGAGCTGCCCTCAACCTCTGCCACTCCTTCGGCTCCATCACAGCCGTGGCCAACAGGTAACACCAGCAGGGGACCTGGCAGGGCTCCAGGGCAGGGCCTTCCACTCCTTCTTCTGCCCTGGAACCAGGGAGAGCCTTCCTGCACCTTTCCTGCTGTGTTCACTGTTCAGGAACTTCCTTCCTGCACCTTTCTTGCCGGGATATCTGCTCAGGGAATTCCTTCCTGCACCTTTCCTGCTGGGATGGTTGCTCAGGGAGAACCTTTCCCACCCTCTGCCAGGAGTCTTTCCTGTCCCATCCCAGCTCTTCACACATCCCAGTCTCTCCCAGTGAGCGTCCCAGGGCGCTGACACGGGCTCTGCTTCCACCCCCCCTCCCTCCCTCCAGCTCCTCTTTCCCTTTGCCATTCCCTGTTTTCACTGCTCAGGTGCTGCCAGCGCTCGGGCACCTGTGCAGAGGTGACCGCAGCAGCTCCCGGTGCTGCCCCATCCCGGGCTCCCGGTGCTGCCCCATCCCGGGCTCCCGGTGCTGCCCCATCCCGGTGCTGCCCCATCCCGGTGCTGTCCCATCCCGGGCTCCAGGGGCTCCTCCCGTTCTCTCTTCGCAGCTCGGTGCCGGCGCTGGCGGCGGGGGCTCGGCTGAGCCGCTCCCAGGCCGAGGAGCTCCAGCGGTTCCTGCGCCACGACTTCGACCTCCAGCTGCTGCCTCAGCCCCTGCCCGCCAAGGGCAAGAGCTGAGCCCGGCACTGCGGGCCCTGCACTGCACTTTACCCGCTCGGGACTGGCTGTAAATTATGGAAATAAACACTTGTCAAACCTCAGGTTTGCGCTGGCGCTGCCCCGTGTGTCCCCAGGGTCCCCGGGCTGGGGGAGATCATCCCGAATTCCAGTAAAAACCACAATAATGGCTCGGGTACTTCAGCAAAGCTTTGGGGAGTGATGGCGAGGACCCGGCCAGCAGCTCCTGCCGTCACTGCAGCGCTGATCCCTCCCGTGTTTCCAGGTTCAGCAGGGAATTGCTGGGTGTTCCCGGGACAGGGTGGGGCTCTGCGGACCCCAGGGCAGCGCCTTCCCCGCTCCTTGGTGCCTCTGCCCGAGCTCGGGGGCCGGAGCCTTCCCCAGCCCCATCGCCGCAGCCTCTGCTGCCACCAGCTGGAAAAGGACCGGGATCGGCATTCCCGATCAGCACTGCCCGGGAAGAGGCTGGGACAGGGAGAAATCAACCCCTGGAACAGGAGCTGTCCTGGGCAGCCGGGATCAGCCACCCTCACCAGAGCTGCCCCAGCCCTGCAGAGTCCAGAGGAATCCACGGAGCTGCTCCAGGGCTGGAGCTGCTCTGGATCCAGGCTGGGAGAGCTGGGAATGTTCCCCTGGAGAGGAGAAGGATCCAGGGAGAGCTGAGGGCACCTAAAGGGGCTCCAGGAGAGCTGGAGAGGGACTGGGGACAAGGGATGGAGGGACAGGACACAGGGAATGGCTCCCAGTGCCAGAGGGCAGGGATGGATGGGATGTTGGGAATTGGGAATTCCTGGCTGGGCTGGAATTGCCTGAGTGGATCCCTGGCAGTGCCCAAGGCCAGGTTGGACATTGGGACAGTGGGAGGTGTCCCTGCCATGGCAGGGGTGGCTCTGGGGGGGATTTGAGGTCTCTTCCAACCCAAACCATTCCAGGATTCCAAACCAAGAGGATGAAGGATCCAAGCTGCACAGCTCCTGGATTCTGCCACCCCACAACAACTCTGAGGAATCAGTGAGTAAAAAAAGCTTGTCCTTGTTTATTACATTAAGGAAATGTAACAATTGAAGCTCTCCCTAGAGTAAATTAAAAAGCAATTTCAGTTCCTTCCAGACTGTACCTGAGTTTATTACACACACAGCCTAGAAGATATTTTAACTTAAAATGGATCAGAACTTGGCAGTCATTGGTAACTATGTACATTGCTCCTTCCCAGGAGAAAGGAGACATGGAGAGGAGGAGCCTGGACATGGAAGTGCCATTTTGTACACATGGAAAAGCCAAGCATTGCTGGCAGGGGGGGAAATGAGGTTAAACCACATAAAAGCACGGCAGGGCAGCTTTTCCAAACTGAACTTATCATTCCAGAATTCCCTCCCAAAGGGGCAGCAGAACCTCTGTGCTCTGAACAGAAAGTCTTTAACAACACAGCCACAAAGTCCATCAGATGGAAAAGTAGAAATCGTCCTGATCCTCACTGGATGTGTCTGGAGTCTCAGCTGTGAAGAGCTTCCCCACCACCCGGGTCGGGCTCACTCCTGCAATAAAACCAGGGATCATCAGGGGCTGTCCCAGTGGGAAATGGGGCAGAGGAGGTTCAGAGAGCCAAGAGCTGATGGACACAGCTCATGGTGATGGAGAAGGAAGGGGAGGAGCTGGCAATGAGGAGGAGGAGCTGGCAATACTCACTCTTGGTTCTGCAGGAAGCCGGAGTCCCCAGCGCAGCTGTGGCCTGAGGGAGGGAAGGAAGGAAGGAAAGAGGCTCAGCCAGGGCTGGCACCAGCTCAGGGTCCCCATGTCCCAGAATTCCCACAACTGCTTTCCCTGAACCACAGGCACAAGCTGCTCCTGGGATCCCAGGGTTTTATGGAAAAGCCAAAGGAGCTGCAGAGCCTGGGAGAGTGGAGGAATCAATACCTAAATTCAGGAGCAAGGTGACTTAGGGTCACTATTAGGAGTTGGACTGGATGATCCTTGTGGGGCCCTTATGGGTACCTCAGGATATTCCATGGCTCTATGGTTATTGTTCCTTTTCCCACTGTTCAGAAGAATTTAACAAGAACCTAAAGATCACGAAATTCTAAAAGCAATGGAGTTAATCCTGACAATAAAGAGCTCCATTCTCACAAAGGAACTTCCCACAGCAGCAGACACCAAACCCAGGGAGGGTTCCCATTTTCCATCCAGTGCACACAGGGGGCTGTGATGCCAGGATTCTGGCCCAGGTGGCAGTGGGGAGTGTCCAAGGAAAGCAGCATTACCGATTTCTTCTTGATCTTGTCCCAGATGCCTCTGCTGCCCCGCGTGTTCTTCTGCATGCGGAACACGTGCCGGTCACAGTCATTCCTGGGGGACAAGGAGCAGGGCTCAGGGGGGCTGGAATTCTGCCATGGAACCCTTGGGATGCAGCCACGGACCCCACAGGGCCCAGGGGAGCTGCTGAACTGAACACAGCAGCTGCTCTGGGGGCACAGGGAGGAGCTGGGCTGGATCCTGGGCTGGCAAATCCCAGTGCAGGGATCACACAAAGCCTCATCCCCTTCCCAGGGCCAGCCCAAGCCCAAAGCCCCACTGGCTCCAGTGCTTTGAGCAGAGCAGGACTGAAGGCTCTGCTGAGGCTGAAGCCCAAGCCAGGGCCATTGCCAGGGCTGGGAGCAGGAGCTGAGCAGCTCCAGCAGCACATGGAGCTCCAGAGGGAAGAGCTCTGCCCCAGCAGGAGTGGCTGCAAGTGAGCTGCTGCCCCAGCTCCAAGAGCCACCACTCTCAGAGCCACAAAGAGATTTTGGGGCAATGCCAAGGCTCACAGAGGGCTGTGGGGAGCTCCTACCTGTTGATGGGGACCAGCATTCCCGGGCTGATGTGCTCACACTGCGGGGTTTTCACGGAGGGGAGGAGCCCTGAGGAGGGGGAGATTGGGAACTCTGACAGTGTGAAATCCTCGGCGTCCTCGTCCCAGCTCGCTCGCAGTGCTGGCAGCTGCAGAGCCACCCCAGAGCCATCAGTCACCTGAGCCCGGAGCCTCTCCCCCCTCTCCAGTCCCTCCATTCCTCCCTGCCCTGGATCTGACTGCCCCTGTCCCTGCTGGGGCACAGCCCCAGGACACAAACCCCTCCAGACCCTGCCCAGCGCTTAGCTGAGGGGTTTTGGTGCTGCCACACCCTCAGAAAGTCATTTCTGGTTCCAATCCCAAGCTCCAAGCTGCCCAGGAACGCTCAGAAGGGAATTACTCAGGGGGTGCTGTCACCATTCAGAGGCTCCTCCCACTCCGTCCAACCTTCTCACTGCCACTGCAGCAGTGAAGGAAAGAAAGAAAGTTCTTCCCACAGAGCCCCAGGATTTTACTGGTGGAACAGGAGCCCCCTCCCCTGGCACACCCAGCAGGAGAGCAGTCCCTCAGTGCTGCTGTCCCAGCTTTACCTGCACCCTCCTGCTCTGGAAGGGCGTGGCAGTGAAGACATCTTCGTGGTTGTCCTTGGGCAGCTGCTCCAGGAATTCCCTCATCTGCTGCTTCCGTTTGAGGGTGCCCACCTTGGCAGTGATCACTGCCTCCTTCTTATCTGCAGGATCCAAACAGGAATTGTCTGAGACAGCAGCGATGGGGTTAAAATTCACTGCTTTGTATCCATGGCAAACCTCAATCCAATCCAGCCCCCAAATGAATCTGAGGAGGGGGGATGGCAAACACCAGGGAATGGGACTGGGCTGTGCTGACTCCACGCTGCCCTTGGGTATCCAAGGACCCAAATCCCATCTGGACAGAGCTCTGCAAGGAGCCTGGGGCCTGCTGGGCCTCCAGGAGCCTCTCAGGGTGTCAAGGGCTCTTTGCCCTGAGGGGTCAAGGCTAGTGAAAGTCTTCCCCTGTTTCAACAACTGGAAAACTCTACAAAGAACCTTTGTCTTCTTGTCACCCCAGTCATTCATGACATCCTCCAGCCTGCACACCAGAAGGTGACCTGGCTCACTGTCACACCCTGATGTGCCCTTGTGGATTTATCCCATGGAACCACAATTGGTGAGGCTGGAAAAGCTCTCCCAGTCCCAGCACTGCCCAAGCCACCACTGCCCCATGTCCTCAAGTGCCACCTTCATAGGGCTTTTAAATCCTTCCAGGGGTGGGGACCCCGAACCTCCCTGGGCACTTCCAATCCCTGCCCACCCTTTCCATGGGGAAATTCCTGCTGCTCTCCACCCTGAGCCTGCCCTGGCCCAGCCTGAGGCCGTTCCCTCTCCTCCTGTCCCTGTTCCCTGGGAGCAGATCCCAAATCCCCCCGGCTGTCCCCTCCTGTCAGGGAGTTGTGCAGAGCCACAAGGGNCCCCTCCTGTCAGGGAGTTGTGCAGAGCCACAAGGGCCCCCCTGAGCCTCCTTTTCTCCAGGCTGAGCCCCTTCCCAGCTCCCTCAGGAATTCTCCATTCCCTTCCCAGCTCCCTCAGGAATTCTCCATTCCCTTCCCAGCTCCCTCAGGAATTCTCCATTCCCTTCCCAGCCCCCTCAGGAATTCTCCATTCCCTTCCCAGCCCCCTCAGGAATTCTCCATTCCCTTCCCAGCTCCCTCAGGGATTCTCCATTCCCTTCCCAGCTCTGCTCCCTTCCCTGGACACACTCCAGCCCCTCAGTGTCTGAATCCCTATTATTTACCAACCACACAAGTCTCACAAACAAGATGCTGGTACCTTTCTGCTCAGATTTTCCTGATGTGCTTTTCTTGGGCTGCTGCTGTTTGGAGCCTCTCCCCTGCTGCTCCTCCAGGTGTTTCTCCTGGCACTCCTGGGCCGAGCGGGACCCCACGGCCATGGCCACGTCCTGCCAGAAGCCACTCTTGTGCTTGGGGAGCACCACGATGGCCCTGCCAGGACAGCACAGGGACATTGTCACCACAGGGACCTGGGGGCACAGCCCTGCAGCCTGCCTGGAGAGCACCTGTGCTGGGATTGAGGCAATTTGGGCTCTGGCTCTGTTGGAGCAGCCTGGGACAGTGGGAGGTGTCCCTGCCATGGCAGGGGTGGCACTGGATGGGATTTAAGGTCCCTCCAACCCAAAATGTTCTGTGATCCTGTGGTGTCTTCTCTTCAGAACAGGCAAATTTATTTAAACACCTTCTTGTGACAGATGTGCCATTTCCTGCTCACTTCACAGAATCCCTGGGTTGGAAGAGACCTCCAAGACCATCGAGTCCAGCCCAGCCCAACCCCTCAGCCAACCCATGGCACCCAGTGCCACATCCAGGCTTTGTTAAACACACCCAGGGATGGTGACTCCACCCCTCCCCAGGCAGACCATTCCTATACTTTATCACTCTTTCCATGAATTTTTTTTTCCTAATATCCAACCTATATTTCCCTTGGCACAGCTCTAGACTGTGCCCTCTGGTTGTGCAGATCTCCTCAGACCTGAGTTCCTCCTCATCTAAAAGAGCTAAACCCAAACATGGCCATTTTACACTCGAAGTGTCTATTAAATACTGCCCAGTGGTTTAAGTAATTGGATGATGGATTAATGAAACACTCTTGCAGTTAACCTGCCCTTACCAAACTTGCTCACAGCAACTTGTCATGGTTAAATTGTTACTGCAGTCTGGGGAGGGAACCTGCTCTTCTCACCTGTGGCCTTCACCATATTGTACTGATGTTTCCACATGGGAGGAAGATTAATAGGGAATAATAATTCCAATTATTGTTAGGGGATAAAAATAGGGAAGTAAGAAATGAAATATTTCTAATTGGGAATTAAAACATAAAGGAAAGCTGGGAAATGATGAATCTGAAAACCCTCAATCCAGACCATTCAACCTCTCCTGATGCCTGAGGGAAACTCTGAACACAGAAGGAGCCCTTACCTGTGAAGCTTCTGCAATTCCTTCTCAGACCAACCATCACCTGCCCTTGGAAAAAGTTCCAGAGATTTCTGCCCCTTTGGCCTCTCGTGCTCTCTGGGTTTTGCTGCTGAAGCCCTGTCGGTGCTGGAGTCTCCACAGCCTATTTTAATTCGGGGTGCTGTGGCATTCCTGTCCTTCCTGTGAAATTCCTCTGGCCCGGTTTCAGACTCGGTGTCAGACTCGAGCTGGTTCCTGCCAGGGCTGGCTCTGTGGGCAGCCAGAAGGGAAGCACTGGACTCAGAAGATGTTTTCCCTTCAGGAGGGGGCTCAGACTCCTCACTGGACTCGGGCCCACTCAGCCTCACCAGCACATTCTGGGAGGGCTTTTCTGTCCTTTGGCCACAGGACTTGTTTGCACCATCTCGGGAACTTTTAGAGCCAGAGCAAGGTTTCCAGTTCCGAGACTCTGGTTTTAATATAGATTTCTTCTTCCTCTTGATCAGCAGTGGGGGGTCCTCACTGGACTGCTCCCCCCCATCCTGGTCTGAGGGTCCCTGGGTGAGGAGAACCCTCTCCTTTGCTGGGAGGTGCTGCTTGGCTGACCTGAGGGAGCTCCTGTAGCCCCGCTCTGCAGAGCCTGCTGCTCTCCCTGCTGGCCCCGGGGCTCTGCTGCTCTGCTTGTTCAACACCTTGGTGTTTAAGGAATTCCCCCTGGCAGGGAGCTGGGATTTCTTTTCTGTGGCCCTGATTCCAGGATCATTTTCCTCATCCGAAAGGAGGCGCCTGTCCTTCCTGCTGCCGGCAGCTCGGGATTCTCCTCTGGCCGTGGCTCCTCCGTCCCTGCTTTTCCCTGGAACAGACAAGAGGCAGAGCCCCTCAGGGAGGTGCAGGGTGGGTGGGTCCTGCTGTGCTTGCAGCACAGGGATCTGCACCCCCTGCCAGAGCTTTACCTGCCAAACTACAAACTCAGAGCTGCTCTCAAGGGCTCTCCGAAACTCTACTGACTGAGCAGGCACATCCCCAAAGCTCTGCTCGTGCTCCTGAGAGCTTTTCTGCAGGAAACATTGCAGCTGCTTTAAGAGAGAAACTTCTGCTTTATATTGCACGTTCTACTCAGGTTTCTATCACTGCCCAAATTCTAACAAAACCAAATTTTTATTAAAAACTCAGTTAATCGGGTTTTTTTTGTCAACATTTCACTTCTTTCATTCACATTAAAAAGCAAAGCCAGGCCCCCAGGTCACTGGATTGGTGAACTCCAAATAGTCCAAATCCCTTCATTTCAATTTCCAGAATGAAATCCCTGTGTTCCCCCTATGTATTTAACAAAGTGATTTACAAACACAGTTCTTGTTTGGAGCTGTGAAACTCCACATGAATGCTACTCTGATGATGCTTCAGAGAAAAAGCAGTTGATCATTAAAATATTTGAAACATTTCTTTGCATTAACAGACCCAACCCTACTTCTCCAGCACCTACTCACAATCCCACTGATTCCATTAATAATTTGAAAATAGAAAAAAAATGTTTAATTTTTACCTTTACTTTGGCTTTTTAGCATTTCCTCTGTTGTCTTCATGCCTTCCTTTGGATTTCTCTGCTTGGATTCTGAACTGGTCTTTCTTTTGGATTTTTCACTACTAAGCATCTTCAAAATAAAACAATTGACTCTAAAGCTAATTTATCTCCTTTTCTCCAGGCTGAGCCCCTTTCCCAGCTCCCTCAGCTGCTCCTGGAGTTTCAGCCCCTTCCCAGCTCTGTTCCCTTCCCTGGAAATGCTCCAACCCCTCAGAGTCTCTCCTGCAGTGAAACACCCAGAACTGACCCCAGGATTTGAGGTGGAACCTCACCAAATTTCTGTCTGGTACAATTACCTTCCAAAATAACCCTGATTTTTTCCTCAGAAACAATTCTCCATTATGTCAGATTTAGAGACCACAATTATCTGATGATATGGGCACAAGACTATTTTTTGGTGTGTTTTCCAATATTTTGATCATTTTCCAAAATCTCCTTCCTCTCCAGGTGCCTCTAAGAGCTGCACCTGTCCTGTTCCCCACCTGGCCAAGGTTAATAATCCTATTGAAGTCACAATTCAGGGGATCTTACCAGGCTGAGATAATCCACCCCCCCATTTTCTATGGTGACATTTAGGTTCTGATCCACAAACTCCCTCTGCCCACACCAGAAGTTCAGGGGGGGTTTGACGAGGCGCCCGCTGCGGGTGTAGACCCTGCTCGAGTTATTCCTGGTCCTCTCCTTTGGTGTTATGACTGCAAGGGGAAAAAAAAAGCCCAAACAAAGAAGAGTTTTGTACCCAGTACTCCATGGAAATTTCAGTTTTGTAGGTTTCACAAGCAGAGGAACAAATGTTTAAACAATTGTGTTTAAACTGGACTACAAGGGAAATGTAAAACATACACAAAGTTGTTCTTTTCAAAGCACTGTGATAGAAATAACAGGACTAAAGTAAGAATCTTCACAAATTATAAAATTTCCTGTGGGGAACTTTTTACTTGGTTTAGAAGGTAATAAATACTGTGAAAGTCGTTTGAGGAGGGACAACAATAAAGAAAATTTGTCACATGGAACAGCTGCTCACTGAGACAAATGAGAGTGAAAAATAAATGGGAATGATGAGAGGAAAACATAAAAGCTTTTAAAGTGCTAGCAAGGAAATCTGATTCCAGCAGGAACAAACAGAACAATGGGGTTTCCCCAGAGCCATGGCAAGGCAGGGCCTGCACTCAGCCTAACCAGGGGGCTTTTCCAGCTTCACAGCCATTTCCTGGGAACACAACCAGCATAATGAACCTTTCCACAACCCACGGCAGCCACCCCCAGGTGTCTTTACCAAAGGAAAGGATTGTTAAATACTCACAGGTATTCTCATCACTCCCTGGTGATGCCTCAGAGGTGGAGTTCCTCAGTGCAGGTTTCTTTGCATTCCTCGCTGAGCCTCTTGCTGCTTCCAACACATCAGTTCCCCTCACAGAATCACAGTTATTCTCCTCATTTCCTTCCACATCATTACTTCGTGGTTTTCGTTCTTTCCTAATGGTTTGGAGTTTGAGACAAGAAATAACAACACTGAGGAAGCTGTTCTGTAACAAACAGTGACGATGTGAAATCCTGGTGGGCACAGCAAAGCGGCTTCATGTCCACATCTAAAACATTTCACAGCTCCTCTGGTGTAATATCCTCAAAAAGCAAAGTCTCAATGAACACTTAGAACACTGCAATGATAGAGAATCTCCAAAGGAATTACCTCCTCCTTTCCTTCAGGAACTCCTCCACGTACTCCTTCCACCTTGTGGAGAAGCCGAAGGTGAATCTCTTGGTGAAGCGGTAGGGGAAGCCTGAGGGGAGCACAGGGGGAGGAAGAGCAGCTCAGCAGGGCTGGCACCCCCTCAGGGGACACGAGAACCCCCCCCAGAGCCTCCTCAACCCAAACACCACAGCAACCGAGCCACACAGTTCCACCCAGCACATTCCAGTCACTCTCAGGCCGAGGAAACCTCTGCAGCTCTAGAGGTTCTCTCACTCTGCTCACAAGTCTTGTGCTGCTACTTTTCCTTCTCAGAATATTAAAATAGAAACAAAATTGAGTTCTTAGCAAAGTAAGTAATAAAATCTTCAAGTCAGAGAGCAGCCAGATCAGGTATTTATCAGCAGGAACCCCAGTGCTGCAAGTGAGGAGGAAACACTGAAGCCACAGACACAGTTTTGGGCCTGAAAGAGCCAACAGTGAAGGTGTGCTGGGTAAAAAATGGTGCAACACACCTGGGGCACACCTGTGTTAGGGGAAGTAATGCTGAGGGAATGGCTGGAACTGGAACAGGGGTGGGGGGTCAGGCTGGATTTTGGGAAAGGTTCTTCCGAAAAGGGTGCTGGGCACTGCCCAGACTCCCCAGGGAATGGTGACATTCCTGAGGCTGCCAGGGCTCCAGGAGAGTTTGACATCAGGGATACCAGGGTGGGATTGTTGGGCAGGGACAGGGGTTAGGATGATCCCTGTGGGCCCCTTCCAGCTCAGGATATTCCATGATTCCAAGTATTTATTCCACCTATGCCACAGAGTATCTTTGTGTCCTCAGAGCTGCCTGTGAGCACTGACAAGCAGCTCATTGCCAGAGGAGCACAGAGAACAAGGAGAAGAGAACAAATCCTTTATTTCCATCTGCATGGAAATCCCATTTCCTTCCACATCCCACATGCTCCAAACCGAGCTGGAGCAGTCTGTCATTTGTCAGGCACTCAGCATCAGCAGCTCACCTTCCCTCCTCATGGCAGCTGAGTCTATCTTGCCCTGCAGCAGGTACACAGCACCCGTGGAGGTTTTCACCTGGTTGTGAGTGAGGCGCTCTGTGATGGCGCTGCTGTGCCACAGCAGCTGCCTCATGTCCCTGCCAAAGACACAACATCATTCCAGAGGGACTGCAGCCTGAGGGAGCAGTGCTGATCCCTGCTTTCTGAGGGATTCAGGTGCTGGCAGGATGTGCTCTGGGCTCGGTTTTCCTTTCTTAGCCTGGAGCTGGCACAGCTCTGCCTCACCTGGCCCTGGGGAAGGGGACAAACCGAACATGTCACACTGCAGTGTCACTCACGGGACAGCAGCTGGACTGAAGGCAGCTCATCACAGCAGCCCAGCTGGGGTGGGGCTTGGAGCAGCCTGGGACACTGGGAGCTGTCCCTGCCCGTGGCAGGGTCCCTCCCACCCCAAACTGTCCAGAGCTATTTGAGATTTGATTTATTCCTCTGAAGCTTTCTGATTATCTCAGCACAGGGCTCTGAAAGGATTTCACCAGTAGTTCCCTGCATGCTGGCTCTGCCCCTCTGGCCCACACAAAGGAATTGTCTCTTCCTTGATCAAGCTTTGCACCATGACCTGGTGTTTAGAGGTTTACTTTGCATTTAAATAATGAACTGGTTCTTACTTCCTTTTCCCTTCCACACAGATTGCCGTGTTTCCATCCAGCACTTTAATCCTCCAGCTGTTCAGGCAGATGCTTTTCTGTTCCAGAGAATAAAAAAGAAAAAAAGAAAAAAAAAATCCTTTATTAGATAGCACCCCTCCGTAATCAGATCCAATTACAAAAAGCATCTTCTAAGCTACAAATCTGGAATATTAGAGGTTATCTGATCCTTGGCTCAGTCCTGAAAATAACTTGGTTTAATTCAGGAAACACATCAGACACTCTTGGCCACAGTGAGGGAGAGGAGAACAAGTGCCTTGATTTCTGCAGGAACCAAGGGAAACCCAAGCCTTGGGCAGGTGTTTGTGCCAGGCTCCCAGGGAACCCCAGGGATGCAGCACTGCTTTCCTAGGATTTATTCAGAAAGGGAGGAATGCTGCAGGCTGCACACTGCTCTCCTGGCAAAAGGTTCTGCTGCAGTTCAATTGAACACGAGTCTGATGTTCCACAGGAAAGCCAAGCCTCTCCCCTCCCCACCAGCAGGGCACATTCCTGGATGGATTCATGCCCAGCTGGGAAAGGTCTCTCCTCCCTGGATCTGAGCAGGCAGGGCCCATGATCACACCATGGCTTGTGCACACTAAACCAAAAGTGCTTCTTTTACACAAAATACCCCAAACCCTGAACATCATGGAGCATGGGGGAAAAAAACCCCTTTGCATGGGAAAATCTACCGGTAAAACCTAATGGGATAACACTTTATTCTCTTCTGAGTGTTCCTTGCTTTTGACAAGAAAAAGAGTAACTTTGAGCTGTCAGCCAGAGGAATTTCATTTTTCCCTACAGGACTATTTCCTCCCACCTCTTTCCGTGCTTTGCCAGCAGGTTGATCGACTGGTTTATCCAATGAGACCTTGGGGCCTTCTGCCACCTTCTGATTCCTTGGAATGTGGACTGGAGAGGCGACCACAATGTCACAGAGGCACTGGGAAGGCTTTTCAGGATTAGTCTCTGGTGCCTTTTCCACTGCTGGAGCAGCTGGTTTTTGACTGGGCTGCAGCTCTCTGCTGTCTTTATCAAGCTCTGTACGTTTTGCTTCTCCATTTCCCCACCTTCCTTCTACCTGATCCCCGTTTTCCCAAGGGCTGGAGTTTACTTGCAAAGGAGTAGCCACTGTACTTTGAGACATTTCTCCATCAGCATCCACTTCTATAGATTCCACCAGGAAAACATCCACATCATCCTTATCAGAGTCCACATTCTCTGCAGCCTCATTCCCTGGCTGCTCAGCACAAGCAGGCTGGACTGAAGGATTCTCCACACCCGTGAAAGGAGGAATATTCTGCTGGGTTTGGGTTGAAGGCGCTGTAGGTGCCCATTTAAAGGAAAACAAAAGGAATAACAAAGAAATTAGAAATATTGAAGCAAAGAAACAAGCTGCCCAGGGAGCAGGGCTGTCCCCTTGCCAGGAGGGATCCAGAGCCCTGTGGATGTGGCACTTGGGGACATGGGGCAGTGCTGGGGGAACAGCTGGACCTGATGGTCTCAGAGGGCTTTCCCAAGCTCAGCAATGCCCTGGTTCTCTGACTGGAGCACGTTTGTGCTCTCCAGAGCACCCCCAGTACCTTTGTGCTGCTGCTGCAGTTGCCACTTCACCCGCAGGAAGAACTTCTGGGGGGTTTCCAGCACGGGAGGCTCTGCAGGGAGCACTGTCAGGGGCTCCATCCCAGGACAAGCTGGCTCTGGAAAACAACCAGACAAAAAAAAAAAACCAAAAAAACGCAAAACCCTCTTTCAGTTTGGGGAAGAAAAATATTTTTTATGGCAGGTGGAGGAGCAGGGGGGCAATAGAATTTTTTAATATGCTTTTTATTAAAAACAAACAAATAAACAAAAAACAACAACAAAACAAACCACAGAATCCCAGAGTGGTTTGGGTGGAAAAGGACCTCAAATCCCATCCCATTCCACCCCTGCCATGGCAGGGACACCTCCCACTGTCCCAGGCTGCTCCAACCTGGCCTTGGGCACTGCCAGGGATCCAGGGGCAGCCACAGCAAATCTGGGAATTCTGTGCCAGGGCCTGCCCACCCTCACTGTAAAAAAGGGTCACATCCAGCTGGGTGTCAGCTGCAAACCTGCTGAGGGTGCCCAGGATCTCACCACGTCATGGATAAAAATATTAAAGATAAAAGCCAGCAGGGAGAGCCCTGGATTATGCCCCAGTGGGATGTCAAACCCCAAGCAGGGTTCCACGAACCTTTCTCTTCTCTGCACAGACTGCATGGAATAATTACAGTAATTTGTTTTGATTTTTTTAGTTATAAAGTGGTTTTGAAAGTGTTGCATGGGTCAAGCCCACTCTTGAACACAACAAAAGGAAGAGTTAGAGTCAGACTGAGGCAGAGGGGGAGGAACCCAAAGGGAGGGAGGGAATCCTCTATGATACAGAGCAAGGAAGAGACATCAGCACTGCTACAGACACATCTCAACACCAAACAAACCTCACCATCCAACCTGATTTTATCCCATCATCTAGGGTGCAACCAGTGCTGGTGCCAGTGTTTTTCACACCCACTGAGGTGCTCTGGCTGCTTTTTCCAGATCCTGAAAGAGCCGTGAGTGGGACACAGGGATAATGTTCACACCTGAGACAGCTCTCCTAGAGAAGCTGTGGAACAACAATTCCTTCCCAAATGTGCCCAGGCTCTGGACTGATGGGTGCTGGTATCAAGGGGCTCTGTCCTCCCCATGGGCCTTCCAAGAAGGAAGGATTAAGGCAATTGGCAGCACCATTGAGAGTTCTTTCCTATCAAAAGATGACGGCAGCGTGCTCCAAAATAATCAAAACCGTTTGGAAAAAGGAACTATTAATAATTCCTGACATTTGGAATTGTGCACTGCTGTAAACAAAGAACTAAAAGGTTTAAGAGAATGCGAAAATCAGGAAACGCAAGATGTCTGAAAGTTCCACGAAATTTACATCTCTGTGCTTTTTATTCCAGCTATTCCGAAGGCAAACAAACCATTGTCATGGAGTCACCGAGGGCGCCTGGAACTCACCTCCTCTCTGCTGGGCGCTGTCCGCGGCCCGGGCCGTGCCTGGCCGGTGCCGCTCGGCCGCGGGGCTCAGGATCACGTCGGTGCCGGCCCTGCGCTGCTGCTCCGCCCGCGCCTTCATCCGCTGGAAGATCTTGGCCGGCGACTCCTGCGCGGGCGGCTCCGGAGCGCGGCGCTTCGGCGGCCGCTGGAGGCCGGGGCCGGCCCGGGAGCCGGGGCAGTTCTGGAGGCTCGGCCACTGCTCGGCTGTGCCGGCCCGAGTGTAGGGACCAGGCCCGGCCCGGGTGTGTGGACCAGGCCCGGCCCGGGTGTGTGGACCAGGCCCGGCCCGAGTGTGTGGACCAGGCCCGGCCCGGGTGTCGCCCCCAACCCGGCGCTCCGACCCCAATATGAGGCTTGCCTGGCTACACAGCAGCTGCTTCAGCGGGGTGAGCGTCCCCGCGGGGATGCTGCTGAGGGACACGGAGCGCAGCGGCGGCTCTCCCCAGAAGCGGCGGCGGCTGGGGGTCGCGACGATGTCGCAGACTGCGACGCAGCTGTCACGGGCGGGTCCCGGCTCCCTCATGGCTGCGGATCGGCGCCGCCGCTCCGGCCGCAGTCCCGGGCCGGCCGCGCTGCCCTCACGGCGTCCCGCGCGTAGATTCGAGCGCAGCACCTGCGGCCGCCGATTGGCGGAGGAGGCCGCGACTTTGGGCCGAGACCATCGCGCGCGGACGCGGGGAGTATCAGGGAATAAAGGCATTGCTAGATGGCGTAGAGACGGGCGGCAGCAGGCCTAGACTATACCTGAACTCCCCTCTCCTCGGCGCAGTGGTTCGGTCCACGTGTGGGCGGGCTCCGCGGCCGTTGGCGCTGAGGCGGGGCCGGGCAGGGGAGGAGCTCCACAGGAATTAAAATGGCTTTTAAAGTCTTCGTGGGGCGTAGCCTTGCCTTGTTGGAACGTTTCCGGTGTGCTGGGGTTACCGGCCGACGGGAGGAGAGTGAAGTGCGGGAGGCACAGCTCGGTTTCCCCAGCCCCGAGCGCGGCCGTGCCCGTGAATAACGAGAGGTGCGAGGAGCCGGGCACGCCTGGCCCCAGTGAGAGTGCAGGGCTGTGTAAAGAGCCGTCAGTGCGCTCTATTAACTGATAAATATTGGAGTTAATTAGAACTCTGCAGGCCTGGCAGGCTCGGGGCTGTCCTGGCTGGAAGAGCCTGCAGTAGGAGTTCATAGTTAAAGCGAGAAGCAGGGGGAAGTTATTTGAATAATGCATTAAAAATACACGATAAATGGGAATCCTGGGTGTACCAGCAGCCTGGCTCTCCCTAAGCAGCCGCAGTGGGATCAGTGTGTCTGGTTCCTAAATCCCAGCAGGTGGGTTAGAAACGCAGCTCTGGGGGATAAATTACTTCGGTGTGTGCCTGTTAATAATAAACATCTGTGGTAAAAAGTTGTTATTTCGGGGTCTTGTTTGCTACTTTGTAGCTTGTTGCAATTACGGAAGACTGGGTTCATTAGAGGAGGAGATGAACGTGCTAATTAGCAGCCCAATTAATAGAGCAGAGAGGAGCTGTGCTTGCTGCTCCCCAGATTTCCAAAGGATTCGGGCAAAGGAGCTGCCAGGGATGCAGAGTCGGGATCAGAGGCAGGTAAGGGTCAGGGGAGGGGACCAGGAGCTGGCCAGAGAACAGAAGGGATCTCTGCATTTCTTCTCCTGGCATCTGCCCCTGGATTTGGGGAAGGAATGGGCTGGAGAACGTGGAAAAGTTACAACAGGGATAACAAAGAAAAGCTGCGTTTGGGTGTTGCATCAGTTAAATGTCTGATTGTGGTTTTTGATTCACTGACTTCATACAGATATGTCAGGAAAATTAATCCACAAACACCAGGGGTTTGTGTCCGAAAAGGAGACAGAGGAGACCTTTTGCTTTATTCGAATAAAGGGAGAGGCCATGGGGTCTCTCATTCCCCTGAGCTCTCTCAGATTTTTGGAGGACTCAGCCTCCTTTTTATCCTATTTTTCCAGCCCCATTTCCCTCTCTCTTTCCCCATGGGCTGAGGTACCTGAGAGGCACAGACTTCCCAAACCCCTGATACCTGAAATTCCCCTCTAATGTATAACCCTCTTTGCATTTTTAATTCTTATGGAATTCATGGTTTTCCCCCTGTTGCTTCTTTCATCTTTCGATATCCAAATTCCATTGATCAGCAAACCTGCAGTTTGTTTGTAAAGGGAAATCTCTTTTTCCATTCATCAATCAGTGGAATCCATCCCATGGTTATCTCTCAATGCTAGCCTTATCTACAAGCAGATCCACAGCTCATTTGTAAAGACAAATTCAACATTCCTCGCAGATAGCACAGCTTCATTTGGTTCATTTCTCCTTACAAAGCACAAAAAAACCCATCCAATCCATAATTTGCTCCTTATATTTAATATCTTAGTGCTCCCATCATTTCTTAACTCTGCTCGGCTTTTCCCTAAATGATCAGAAGCAAAGAAAATTAATTTTGCTCCAGTTCCTGCAGAAGCCACCCCTGTGCTTCCTTCCAGGAACAAAAGAGAATCCACAGGAAATCAAGTGAGGGGAAATTCCTTCTTTCCAGGAACAAATGTGTGTGTGAGATTTGTGGGTGTCACTTGGGTCTCTGTGGAATTCACACGAGTTTTGTCAGAATTCCTAAATTTGTGAGCATGGCTGAGCAGATTCCCCTCTGTGTTTGTGTGACCAGATGCCAGTGGGAGCTTTCCAAATGGAATCCCAGAGTGGTTTGGGTTGGAAAGGACCTCAAATCCCCCCCATTCCCACCCCTGCCATGGCAGGGACACCTCCCACTGTCCCAATGTCCAACCTGGCCTTGGGCACTGCCAGGGATCCAGGGGCAGCCACAGCAAATCTGGGAATTCCAGCCCAGCCAGGAATTCCCAATTCCCAACATCCCATCTCAATTTCCCCTCTGGCAGAAATGCTTTTTTTTTTTTTTTTTTTTTTCCCCCCTCCATAAGTAACATTTCTTGAATAAATTTTTAAGCTTGTTTGCTGTTTGTTCCATTATTCAGAGAAGAAAGACTAATCCAGACTAAGCAGGAAAAGCTGTTGAGGATAAAAGAGTTAATTTGATTTTTGTTGAGTGTGGGTGGTTCTGGAGCAGGGCAGGTGTACCTGGAGACAATAAATGCAAATTTAGCTCCAGGCCTCTAAGTGACTTCTCAGCCTCATCAGCTGCTTGTGCTGTGGGTTTAAAAGGAGAAAAGTGGATTTTTTGGGGGGATTTATCCACGTGGATCTCACCAATTACCAGGAAGGACCTAAGACTGTGAGTCCTGCTGCTTCTCTTTGGGAAGGTGGCTGATACCACTCAAAATCTTCCTGGAAATAAAAGAATTAATCATGGGACACAGATGATGATTGCATTGTAAAGAGTTTTCCAAGCCCCCCCATTCCAGCCTTCTGCCTCTTTAGTTCCCAGTGGAGGTGCAGCTGCTGAAGTTTCCTCTTTTGGCTGCAGAAATAAAACCCCAAAAATCTGTGGTGTGTGGATTGTAGAGCCCAGACCCCTCAGTGATATCTGTAGTGTGGGGTTCAACTGGGGGAAAAAAAAACCCCAAAACACTCCTTGCATGGTGTTTGGCTGAGGGGTGTGTGCTTTTCCATGGTTTTTCATGGAAACATTGAAGGTTTTTCC